TCTCGGCGGGATCGGGGCAGCCCGAGCCTCTGCCCTCGGCGGGATCGGGGCTCTGCTCTCGGCGGGATCGGGGCAGCCCGAGCCTCTGCTCTCGGCGGGATCGGGGCTCTGCTCTCGGCGGGATCGGGGCAGCCCGAGCCTCTGCTCTCGGCGGGATCGGGGCCCTGCTCTCGGCGGCGCCGCTGAGGGACGAGCCCGGGGTCGCCCCAGGCAGCAGCGAGCGCCGTGTTAGGGCAGAGCCACCCTGGCCGGGAGCCCGGCGTGCCAAGCTCGGCTCGCTGCTGCCCAGGCTTGTTCGTGACGGAGGAAAAYGTGTGTGTGGAGGGCTGAGGAAATGTGCGCCCATAAAGCCGTCCCCAGGCAGCGCAGGTGAGAGCGGGGTCACTGYCCGCGCCTCACGACCCCCGCTATCCCTGTGGGGTTCACTCGCCACCATCGCCAGTGSCAGACATCGGGCACAGCTGTGCCCTTTTCCAGCCTGGTTTTTACATGGCCTTCGTCAGTGGGCGATGTTATTTACCGTGACTCACAGTCAACTTCATCTACGGATGGAGACCGTAATTCGGCTTTTTGGCTGCCTTGCACGTTTTAGGGTTGGTACASCCTCTTTGCTTGCTCAGAGGGCTAAAAGGTCTCACCTCCCTTACCACAGTGTGATGTTGGCTAGGAAATCTGGCTATTCCTGTGTGACTACCAAGCTGTCTGATTTACATTGTTTTCTTCTGTGTCTTGCCCTGTTACGTTCTTCACAAATGGCTGTCAACATTTGCTTTGGATGTTACCTAAAAATCCAGTACACCATGACTCTTTCAGTTCAGACCATACGTGCAAGTTTACGAGCAGTGTTTCCCAATCCCAGAGATTACCTGTTCTTTAAGAACTGTTGTGAATTCCAGCAACACCATCCCTGTTCCTGAAGTCTTCACACAAACAACTCTTATGTTGAGCAAAAACAYAATACTCAAAATTAGTAGCATGACTTTACTTCATAGCAACCTTCATTCTTTCTGAAGTGCAGCATTAGAGCCCTTGTACACCTGTTAGGAATCTCAAGTCTTGCCAAAAAGCAAAGTTATAGGAACGCTGTGAAGGAGTTGCTTTGTCATTCTGAGCACCACCAGACCAAACACTGCAAGCAGTTCAACTGGGCTGAATGGCATTTGGTGGCACGGTAATCCCTTATGGTGTCTTTTGTACTCCCATATTAGCTTTAGCTCTGTTGTAACTGCCAGACACATCTTGTGTTCACAAATCACTTCAGCATCATACACAAGAATGTGTGTCGTCCAGTGACTATTTATGTCCACTGTTCACTAAAATTTCTGTTTCTCTATGCTCMTGTATTCCAGGTTTCTGGATAGGARAGACTGGCACTTAAAGTAGTGTCTGCTTCTTCCTTTGTATTTTCTGCTAATTCCTTGTGGTTAGGCTGGAATGGAAATTCAGAATGGCTCTCAGAGGAGATGGCTATAGCTCTGGGGCTGAAGGAGAAAAAATGAGAAGCTTAGGAGTATCGGTTGAAGAGACAGCCCTGTTTGTCAATTCCCAGGGATTTCAGGAAAGTGGTACCTCAGGCTGAGCCAACCACTATAAGCATGACAGCTTGACTTATCCTGAGCTGAAGCAGTAGAGCTAAAGTCACAGCATTCCCCTCACACAGAGTTAAGTTTACCAATGGAACATGAAAACAGAACACTTCATTTTTAAACCAAAAATGTTGCTTGCAACTTAAGGTAGCAGAAAGAGGTTAATKGTGTTTTATCAGGTACTGCATTCGAGGTGCTGCTTGCTAATAAGTGCAGAATATTGTCCCTATAGGAAARCATTTACAACYGTTACAAATAGTCTCRCTTCCTTCTCCCTCAATGCCTCATMCTTGCGTTTTTAATTGTTGAATAAGTGTCATCCATATTTTATCTTAGCTAGAAGCTAAGAATAAATATTTTTAAAACAATATTAAGACTGTGCCAGATGACTACAGGCTTTTCCTGGAAACAAATTATCCACGTTCTGCTTTTCAGGCTTTTGTTGGAYTGATGTGCTTTAATGCGGTGTTAAGTATCTGAAAGAGGTGTTGACCTTTTGAGTGCCTTTCCCATCCCTCATTTGCATGAGARATGATGACATGAAGGAAAATGTTTCCTATCCAAGTACCCCCTCCTTCTTTGCTGACAGCGAAGCTGTTTGAAGGCAAAGTCACTGACAAGAGAATTCCTASTGTGCAAACACAAGACAAGCATTCAATGCCAATTCTTCCTGCTTGTCTTGCCGTGTTCTAGACAGTGTCTTTTGAAAGCAGACAGACTTCATRAACGAACAGATGCATCTCTCCCACTTCCCACTACCTGCTGTCATGCGGTGGACACAATTTACCTGCGTATTTGAGATACACTTTTTTTCCCACTAGTTATAATTCCCTTTTATACATAAGAAGCTTTCAGAGCAAGATCTGAAAGTGCAGGCTGAATAGCCATCATGACCAAGAGAGGCTGTATAATGGAARTACAGGCTCAAATATTGATTTTACTGGCAGAGTGTGTGCATTGGATGGTAAAAGTTCAATGTGAAACATTGAATTAGAGATGATTTGCAGATATGTAAATGAACCAGCAGCAGAAGTGTTAATCTTATTAATTTGTAATATAAGGAGTGGAATAATAAGTTGAGTTTTTGGGTTGTTTTTTTTTTTTCTCACACTGATTACAGTGATAGCTACAGTTTATGCTTTATCATGTATCTGTCAAGATGATAAACAAGTTCAGTATTTTTGTAACTAGCAGGGATCAGGGCATGCTCTGTGCAATAGGAGGCTGTAAGTTAAAACAAGCTAACAAGATCTTTGGATTTATCTGAACAGGAATACAAGTGAACCTGGAAGAAAGGARCCTCATGATTGCCAGTGACTCCGAGAAAGAGAAGCCTTCAGACTGAGGGAGCTGCTGATCAGTTGGGTAATTGAGTTATTACTTGTCCAACTGTTAAATGGCTTCTCATAAAAATATCTCTGCCTAGATAGGCTGACTTCTCCCAAAGTGGAAATWCTATGCCAAAACTCCTAATAAAAGGAATATAAAGCACTGTCCTCTATAGGCATCCTTGTAATGCCAATCTGTTAGTTTGTTGCAGTGAAAACTACTGTACCAATGACAGACTTTTAGCACAGTAACAAAACTGACACTGTAATTTTCTTCAAGAACCTGTGTAAGAATCCTCCAGWTTATTGATTTAGAGTACACAACCCTTTCCATGCTTACTTTTYAAACAGAAGTTGCATTTACTGCCARTATTTGTATTAATGTCATAATTACTTTAAGAAAATCCATAAAAATCTCTGGCAAAAACTAGTCAAGGCAAACTGTAGTGCTGCCCCTGCAAACTGTATCAAACAAAGCAGTTTGCTAGTGCAGTGATCATATTATGAGAACTTCCTAAAARCAGTATTTCTGAAAATGGTTACAGATGAGAGTAGCAAAAGCAATGAGTCCAGGGACCTTTAAATCAGAGAGTATTTTGATCCTGTTAGCTAGTGGGTCATGCCTCTTTAGCCCATTTACAGAGTTCTTCTCTTCAGTCAAAGCTTGGCCAGACAATGGTAAATTAAAAATTAGCTATGTAACTGGATCTAGCTATTAGAATTCTTGAACATTAGGATTTAACAATCCTAGCTCTCTTTGGAAAAGAAAAGGAAATAAATTGGCAAGGACTAAAGGCAAGCTGCAACAAAAAGAAATAAATTGCAGAGCCTCTGAAGTACAGTACAATATGTCAAGGGCTTAATCCATTGCAAATAAACCTGTGAGTTGCTTACCATCCTGCCAAAACAATTGCAATAGCAACCCAACCCTCCAAACAGAGAGTTTTACAAATYAAATACCATAGAAAAGAGCTCCTAACCCTAGAGACAGGAATACAGGAGGCTAAAGTGTATTATTATAGAGGGGTAAGGACTTGGCCACAGAAAACTTGCTGTTTGAAATCTGCAGGACTGTGCAGTTGGAGTGGCAGKACTAGGATTTCATTGCACAAACAAAATCCAAAAGAAGGTCAAAGTACCCTACAGGAAGACACTATTTTGAAAAGCAGACACTTGAATTGCTTAGAGGGTGGATATATTTTGTCACTTTGGTTATTCACCGAGTCATCCAAAAAAAGYACAAATCTTTAAATCACTGTAATTA